GCCCCCGCGGGGTCGTCCTCAGCTGTGCAGTGTGTGAGGGCAAGGTGTGCCCGCTGCATGCTGGGACCTAGACAGCAGAGCGCCCCCGCGGGGTCGTCCTTAGCTGTGCAGTGTGTGAGGGCAAGGTGTGCTCGCTGCATGCGTGCGGCCAGGCAGGCAGCCCAGAGCAGCGAGGCCTCCCTGGGTGCCTAGGCAGATGCGTCGTATTGGCCTTGCAAAGCTCACGACTCCTTCAGGGCCACACTCTCCACAGAGCAGCGAGGGGTCTCGAGAGCCATGCACCTCAGCACCTGCGCAGGGTGCCACTCCTACTTCTCTGTCTGAAATCTGGCTTGCAGTTCAGCTGGACACTAAGCGCTCTGGCAGCATTGCCCCAGCCCCAGCACTGGCTGCAGCCCTGCGTGCTTTGCAAATCCCCCTCTCTGCTCCTCCAAACCCGTGATAGAGAGGGTGCTCACTGCACCGCACTCTCCACCTCGGCACCAGAGGGAGCCCCTCCCATCAAACAGCCCTGAGATAGAAACACAGTGGGACTCCCTGACACCTGTCACCCTCAGCAGGGGAAAGGGAGGGTTCTGTGCCAGGACAGCCCAGGCCCCTGGGGGTCCCGGCACACTCCGTCCACGACATCCAGCTGACCTCCTGTCCTTCCCCGTACATCTCTCCTCTCCAGAAAGTCCAGCAGTACACGGTTATCGTCCAGGCCACCGACATGGAAGGGAACCTTAACTACGGCCTCTCCAACACAGCCACAGCCATCATCACGGTGACAGACGTGAATGACAACCCACCAGAATTCACCGCGAGCACGGTGCGTACTCGGTCTGCGCTGGAAAGCTGGCCCCTGAGCCGCCGCCATCGCTAATACTTGCTCCTCTCCCGGTACTGCTGCGTCTGATAGGAGGAGTGGGCAGGTGGTGGGTCACAGAGCTCCTGGCACAGGTGCTTGAGGCAGGACTGATGCCACACTGGATGTCTGCGGGGGCATGGCCTGAGAGGTGCCCAAATGGGGCCTCGGCCAGGGGCCTGCATCTCCCTGCACGCGGAGGGCCCCGTTCTGCCTCAGTCCCCATGGGCCAGTGGATAGTGCAGCCTTGGAGGACACGTGTACACACGTCTGGCTCACAGAAGGCGCGCCTCGCCCCCAGGATGGCACTGCCAGTCACGGCACTCTCATTTCCTCTGCATTCCCAGGAGGTAGCCATGCCACAAGGGGGGTCCCTTCTTGTGAGGTCCACAGGGGTCACTGTGCCACCTGTGGTCTGGCCTCTGCTATGGCTCGCAGTCGCCCCCACAGATTCTCCAGACTATGCAC